TCCACAACTAGACTGAAGAACAAAAGGACAGCAACTTGTCTGTTCCCCTTGCCCCAATTCCCCAGTGCTGTTCCCATCTCCCCAATTCCCCAATAAAAATCTTAAAAAAAAGAGCAAACTTAGATATATTAATGTTGGTTAATATTGTTATTGATTAGTGGGATCAAACACAAACACCAGTACTCTGGATTTTGAACAAAGCTGTAGTCAGACCTGTCATTTATTATTATCAGATTAAAGCTTTGGTGTCAATGTCAAACACCCTCTGTTAGAGTCTGGGAAAAAGGGAAGAAAAATCCAAAGATACTTAGTTGGGGGGGAGCATTTGAGATCTTGCTCCCCAGCATGTACTCTAAGTTTGGCTCAAATAAACTCATTAAAATTCTCTACAGGTTTGAACATTTCAAAAAATAAAAAGATACTTAGGTGACTTAATAACTAGGTCAATTCTTATCTTTTGAGCTTGATTAGTTTGAATGGGAAGATATTCACAAGGATGTAAAATTTTTTTTTAAACTTCGTTACCTCATAGTCACATTTCTTACGTGTCATACTGTAGAGTTATATACAAACACTACCAGAAATTTCCCAATAAGCTTTTTAAAAAAAAACACTAAATTCTATAAATTGATTTAATTTTTATTATCTCTTGTTTGGTTTTACAAATTCAATTTGTGACCTATTGATTGTCTATTTGGTTTTCCAAGTTTATTATCCTCCATAAATATAGGATCTGGAAAGCAGGATTACCAAAGCCTTCGCCTAGCACTAGTTTCAGGTTTAGCACTAGTTTGTTCTAGAACCATGGTCAAAATTTGTGGAACCCTAATCTAAACTCTTACTTCTTAGGGAGTTCTAGACTTTCAAAAAAACTTCTAAACCAATTATTGTGCTTTTATATCATCAAAATTAATAAAAAATAAATTGATAACATACTTCCCAACTAACAACAACACAAGTTGAACCTTTGCAGGTAAGCACAGGTATACCACATTCAGAAGGAGGTCTCGGGCGTGGCACAGTTTCACAATTCATTGAATGAGATCCAAACTACAAATAAACACAAACAAATAAGCAAACACACAAATTATTGTGTAGGCATGGTCACTCCCCACTTTGATAGGAAGTAGAAGCATATATTCATCCAAAGTGAAATGAACTACAAATGGAAAACTGAACAATAAATATTAACAACCCCAGCCCTATTTACTCACTATGGATCTCCCATCAGAGCTGGAGTGCCCTTCTGTGTCATCTTGGATCTCTTTTGCCTCTTTGACATTTGCAAGTGCATTAGAGTTTCCATTAGGGGGATTGTCTATAAAAATATACAAAATAAACAACATTTTTTTCAAATAATTAAAAATTTAAAGGCTGCTTCTTTAAAATAATACAAAATAATTTAAGAAGACTATGAAAACAATAAGTAACATAGAATTCAAATTATATTAACTTGTGCCAATTCACTTTTTAATTTAATTTCCAGACATTAAAAAATTATAATTTCAATTACCAAGCAAGAAATAATTTTCTAAACATTATTTGATTTTGTAGTAAAAGAAAACCACTTGCTCTGCTTTAATTACATTTAATATATAAAAATCAGAGGTTACAAAACAAGAAATTTAAGTACAGTCATTCAAATCACACAAGAAGCCTCACCGCATTGAATGTTGTTTTCTTTGGACTTCGCTTTACCATTTAAGGGTAGACGACAGCAAGATGCAGGAGAAAAAGTGGGTGTTTGAATAGTCAATATGTCTGAAGGCTAAGAAAAATACAAAATACCTTATGACTATAGTGAATTCAAGTTCAGTTTTGTAAAACATTTACTAACATGATAGTTCATTTCAGTTCTCAATTTAAAAACTTTTCCATCTGTCTTCCCTCACCTGGCTTTGGCCTATAGGCGAAGTGCAAAAGACTCTCAGTTTATACGTAGTACCAGGTTGCAGGTGATCATATAGAAATTCCCTTGTGGTTCCATTGTAGATTATTTTCCATGAATTTACTGAAGGGATAAAAGCAATTTTATCCAATTTATTTATAGGTAGCTTATAAATTTCATGGGTTCCCATTGTTATCTCATGTACATACTAAGAAATAACCATTTTGGAAATTAGCTGTGGTCCAATTACCTATTTACAATAGTTAAATATTTATAGTCCCTATACAATTAATCATAAAATCATAAAAGATCAGTAAGTAAATATGATTTGTTACCAAAAACTGGAGAAATTCAGGTAAGTTCTGGGGTTCAGTTAATAGTATTGTACCAGTGCCACTTTCCTGATTTTGATAATTGCACTGGGGTTATATAAAATATTAGTATTAGGAGAAGCTGAGTGAAGGTTATAAATGAAAACGCTCTATACTATTTTTGCAACTTCTAGGAAAATCTAAAAGTACTTCAAATTGAAAACTTAGCAAAAATCATGATGACTTACCATCCAGATTTCCACTAACTTCTAAACTGTAACTTGAAATATATGTCCCACCATCATCATCAGGTGGTTCTGAAAAAAATAAATAAAATTAAAATTATTCTTGAGTAAACTTAAAAAGTCTTTTACTGGAATGTCCCTTCATGAATTACATTTTTTTCAGTCAGAGAGGAAAAAATACAAACATGAAACATAATAGGACTATATCAAACTAAAAAGCTTCTGCAAAGCAAAAGAAACCATCAACAAAACTAAGAGGCAACCAACCAAATGGAAGAAGATATTTGCATACCATGCCTCTGATAAAAGGTTAATATCCAAAATATATGAAGAACTCATATAACTCAACAACAAAAAGACAACCAATCCAATTAAATGGGCAGAGGGCATGAACAGAAACTTCTCCCAACAAGACATACAAATGGCCAACAGATACATGAAAAAATCCTCAACTTCACTAGCTATTAGGGAAATACAAATCAAAACCACAATGAGATATTACCTCACACCTGTTAGAATGACTATTATCAGCAACACAAATAATAACAAGTGTTGGAGAGGCTGTGGAGGAAAAGGAACCCTCATGTACTGCTGGTGGGAATGTAAACTGGTACAGCCACTATGGAAAACAATATGGAGGTTCCTCAAAAATTAAGAATAGAATTACCATATGATCTAGCACTCCCTCTTCTGGGTATCTACCCCCCAAAATCTGAAAACATTATCTGTAAAGACGTATGTCCTCTGATGTTCAATGTAGCATTAATCATGGTGGCCAAACATGGAAACTACCCAAGTGTCCATCAGTAGATGATTGGATAAAGAAGATGTGGTATATATGCACAGTGGAATACTACTATGCCATAAGAAAAGATGAAATAGTGCCATTTGCAACAACATGGATGATCCTGAGACTATTACTCTTAGCAAAATGAGTCAGATAAAAAAATGCAAGAACCATGACTTCACTCATGTGTGGGACATAAAACTGAAAGCAACAAAGGGAGAAGACAAACAAATAAAGAAACAAAAACTCGTAGACACAGACAACAGTTTCATGGTTATCAGGGGGTAAAGGGGGAGGGGGATGGTAGAAGAGGGAAATGGGGTCAAATGTATGGTGATGAAAGGAGAACTGACTCTGGGTGGGGAACACATAATGCAACATATAGATGATGTATTATAGAATTGTACACTTGAAACCCATGTAATTTTATTAACCATTGTCACTCTAATAAATTTAAATTAAAAAACATAATAGTATATTAATACTCAGTTATTAATAAAGATGATAAAAACATAATCCAACTTACATGTTGGAATATTGGACATGATGCATTTAATTAATATTTTAAAGTTCTTCTGAAAAGACTGAAATGCTAAGTATATGTTCGTTAAAGTTGATTTTGCCAGTTTAGAGGCAAAATAATTTTTAAATGTAATTTTTTGTCAAGTTGACATTTATCATTGATGTGTCTTCCTAATTGTGGCCTCTATATTAGATATAGTTTTACTTGGAATAACCATAATTTTAAGGGCCCATATAAAGTTCAGTAATTTGTTCATGCATGAATTAATAAAATAGCAATATAGAACTCAATAGAGAACTAGAAAAAAACAATATAGTTTACAACTAAACTAATTTATATGGTTAAATATTTCATATACAAATGGTTAAGAGAATATTTTATAAAGCTGAGGGGAATTAAGAGCAAGATTTCTTCTCAATAGTTAATATTAAGACAGGGTAAATTTTAAATACAAAAGCATTACTTACCCCATCCAATTTTTACTCTGTGTGAATGGATCTTTCCCTTTATATATGGTTTTTTAGGGAACCCAGGCTTATCTGGACAGGTAGTATATTTTACTTCTCCACTGGGTTTACTTCTTCCCTCCATATTGTAGGCAAATAGCTGATTGAGTAAAAGAGAATACCTTGGTTGACCACTAGAAACAAACGTCTGATTTGAAAATGTGCATAGGTTGCAGGTAATATTATAAAAAGCAAGTTATTTGACTGAAAATTTCTGAGATCCAAATGCAAAATAAGGTTTAATTTCAACCAAAATAGGCACTTCTTTTTATCTCTCGTAAAGAGTATAATTTTATATTAAAATGATACAAATTTATAAATTATAGCCACATACCCTGAACTTGTATGTAGTACTTCTCTGAAGATTTCTTATAGTGCACGAGAGGTCTAATCCATTGTATTTAGGTTTGAAACCCAACCCCTGCAAAAGAAATACAATATACTTAGGAATCAGGCAGGAATGGGTTCAGGTTCCAACTTCAAATTATTTTCTACCTGGGTCATCCTGAGCAAGTCCCTTAATCTCTCTGAACCTGTTTCTCTGTGTAAAAAACCGGAGATGATTTCTACCTTAAAGGGCTTCTTCTTAAAGGATGTAATAAGATAATGTGCATGAAAGCATTTAGCACATTACTTACACAGAACAAATCTTGTTAGTTGCTTTATTTAAAATGTGGTAAAATATATACAACATAAAATTTATAGATGCTTTTTAAGTTGAATAGGCTATTCAGTATAGATTTGAAAGTTCAGAATAGAATGAAGCCATTTGCCCACCCACATAAAAAAATCAGGGAGATGAAGAAAGGGCTTGCCTTGGTAGAAGTATGCAGAGGATCTGTGTGACCGCCCAAGGTCGTCTGGGATAAGCCCAATGTTGAAGAACTAACACTTCTCTGAGTCTCTCTTATTCTGTTGTTATGGCTGCTGCTGCTTATACCTAACTTTCAGGGACTTGGGTAGCTTTAGATATTCCTGTACAGGCCTGTCTGACCTTGGCTTTACATTGGTCCCATCCAAAACACAGAGACTAAGGAATCATGCAGTCTGATTCAGATGTGAAATTAATCAAATTTAAAATTTTCATTGTAAAATCATATAAAATGTACCTGACACTGAAATTGAAGAGTAAAGCATATGTAAAGAGAACTTACAGATCCTGCTTCCTCCATTTCTAGTACATAAGTAAGGCTGTCATTTAGGTTTGTGTTAGTTGGGGCACACCATTCTAGTGACAAATTACAGATTCCTGCTTCTTTTAGCTTTGGTGGTAAAGGTGTTTGAGGTATAGTTCCTGATGTAGAGAAGACTACTATTTCACTGAAATCACTGAAAAATAAAGATGGAAAAATTAGTTTCAGGTTCCTCTTAAAGTTCAGACTTTTAAATATTGCAATAATTCAATGTACCTCAAGCCGAATTCATTTTTTGCAGCTAATCTGAATGAATATTTTGTAGAAGCATTCAGTTTGAGGACCTTATGCTGTTTCATGATACCCATGTAGCAACTTTTGAAGACTTCACCTTTGCCCTTAATAATATACACAAACCATTAGAATATTATAAAATGCTACAAGTAGAAATTCATCATAATATTCACAAACAAGTGCTTTTAAAAATAAAACTGCTTACCTCATCCCATTCCAAAAGGTAGCTGTTTACTTTGGAACCATTATCATTGGAACCCTAGAAATATCAGAAAGATAAGATTATGATGGGCTGTTTATTCAGTATGTGTATATAAGTAAAATGATAGAAATTACTATAAAATTAATTTGCTTAAATTTTTTTTTGAAGCAATCCAGATTTTAAAATTAAGCTATTTTTTAGTCTATATAAGACATGCCCAAATTCTGTTTTGCTGTGTCTTCCAAATTTTATGCAATGAAGTTAGTCTTAAGTAAATTGAGAGGTAGACTTATTGGTCTACAATTATACATAAATTTAAGTTGTAGAAACTGACACTTCAACTTTTAGTAATTATTGGAATTCTGAACAATATTTCTCAATTTACTTGATGCTTGATACAGATAGAAAAAAGAGAAAGATTATTATGGGGAAGGAAAAGTGCTAGGGAAATAGGCCAGAAGAGGCATGCATAATTTCATATTTAAAATTCAGGACAAAGTAGAAAGAATATTTTTAAATTAAAATAAATGTTGAAGAGGTTTTGGCAGTAAAATCCTTACTTTCCACTGTAAATTCAGGCTGCTCTTGGATCGGTTAATCAGTTTGGGTGCAAGTGGAGGGTCTGGTTCACAACCTGGAGTTGTGAAGCTAACCACTTCAGACACAGTTTTGTGTGCTGAGTCTCTTATGGTTGTAATTCTAAAAATGTAATGACAATTGTAAGTTTTCAAACATTTATCCAAACATATATATTAAATCACATACTTGAGTTTCCAGACACATTTCTTAGAATGAATATATATATATATATATATATATATATATATATATATATATATATATATATATATATATATATATATATATATATATATATATATTCTAATAGCACAAAACTGAATCATTGCAAATAATGGCTCTCAAATCACCCTCTCACCTGTCCTGAATGAAAGAAAGTGAACTAATGCGGGATTTGGAGGGGGTTTCTTTGAAGCTTGAAGGAAAGGTCACTCTGCTAGCAAGTATAGCTAGGCTGACTGCAGGAATCATAAGCAGTGAACTAATATAGACTGGGGAATCTGGCTGGCTACAGGGTGGGGCAAGGTTATGTAGGATGGAGTTCTTACCTTACAAAATAGACCACAGATGGTTGTAGGTCAAGTAGAGTAAATGTAACTTCATCACCACTGTGAAGATAACTTTTGTTTATAACAGATCTTGTACATATTTAAAAGCTAAGTAACATTGCTAATCTTATGTAGTCAACTGATAAAGCACAGTTCTCCTTGAAGTTTAGATAATTCTAACCCATTTTATATGAATGCAAAAAAGTAACAGTAATTCAAAATTCTTCATTTGTATGCCAAATTAATATAACTTTAAGAAATGAAACTTTTTCATTTTATCACTGCTACTTCACACTGTAATAATACAGATTTGTCTTTAAATAGTGTTGATATGAAAAGCCTCAAAGGCACCATGCATCATGCAATTTATTTATTCAGTCACACAGAACAATCTTTCTGGGGTGAGCACCTATCCACTACAGTGGATAGAGTAGCTGTGTTCCCACACCTACATCTTCCTGAGATAACAATCATGAGTACCTAGTCTATCACCTCAAGGAGCTCCTTTAGGCTCTACACCCTGAAATAGCCTCCAAAAAGAGCTAAACGGTTATTTCTTTGCTTAGCATAATAAGCTCAAGATCCATCCAAGTCAAACAGAAAAAAATCAAGAACCATGACTTCACTTATATGTGGGATATAAAACTGAAAGCAACAAAAGAACAAGACAAACAAATAAAGAAACAAAAACTCAGACACAGACAACAGTTTTGTGGTTACCAGAGGGTAAGGGGGAAGTGGGGAGGAGGATGGTATTAGAGGGTAAAGGGTGTCAAATATATGGTAATGGAAGGAGAATTGACTCTGGGTGGTGAGCACACAATGTGATATATAGATGATGTATTATATTACAGAATTTTACACTTCAAATCTATGTACTTTTACTAACCATTGTCACCCCAATAAATTTAATTTAAAAATAATATAAAAAAGATTGTTCCTTTTAAGCAAAGGCCACTCAAGGTTGTAGGGTGATCAGAGGTATAGGCCAGTATGTTTTTATAAAAAACAATGACTTGTAAAATACATACCACCAAAAAAAGAACACCCTGTAAATTACAGCGCAGCTTAATTTTATAAATGGCTTTTCATCGTATTTTACATTTTCCCATCCCTCTACCCAATATAAAAGATTGTATATTGTAATTTTTTTTAATTTATTTTATTTTATTTTATTTATTTATTTATTTATTTTTTTTAGCTGAGCCATCCCGCCACCTGTTGGCAGCTCACGGCTGCTCAGCTCGGGCTGACTCGAACCGCTGTTGCTCAGAGCTCAAACTCTTGAGCGAGCTCTTAACCAACTGAGCCACTCAGCCGGCCCTGTATATTGTAATTTTTAAATTTAAATTTTCTAGCTGCCAGTTATAAAAGAAATAAAACTTATTACATAATAACTAATTAGATTCAAATTTTCACTTTGAGTCTCTGAATATAGATGACAAATTCTGGCAAATAGTTTAAGATGTGTTGTGATTTTAAAAGTGCTGTACAGACATATGCAGATCTCTGACTTATTTCTTGCCTAGTTGTTTGATGGGCAAAGGAATTTCTCTTTCTTACCAACTTGGGATTTCCTTGCCACTGTGACTCTCCTCTCAGCATGTTCTCTATCAGATTTTATGTCCCTCTTCAGATAAGAAGCTATGGGAAGTGGTCGGGTATGCTCTTGCTGTGTCCTGCACTGTATCCTCCCTAGTCCTGGTTCTATCCTCTGAGTACATTCCTAAGCTCATCCTGTTACTATCATAGCTCCACTTTATAATTAGCTCATATAATGAAACTCCCAGGATATCCCAAATCTTAAATTTCTATTGCAATGTACATATCTTGCTTGTATACCCAAAGACCTACCATCATGTTTCACTTCCTGCTTCCTTAAAATGAAAAGATCAAAAAAGATAAGGGAGAATTGGAGGGAAACTTTTCTTCCCTGAGTCTGAGCTTGTCAAATAGAAAAGCTATAAACTAAGAGAATGAACCAGTTGATATTTAAGGCCCCCTCAGCTTTAACATACTTATGATTCAATGAATTTCATGGACTGACCTGGAAACTTACCATCATTTATTTTTCAAAACTATTTCTGCAGAAAATTTTATTTAAATCTTGGAAAGAATTGCAGAAAAATCTTTCGGACTCAGCCTATAGCTCTATATGTTTAGATAGCATATTTATATTGAATAAGAAATGAGAGATGATTAAAAAGAGACTTACATGTACACATTTTTATATTTTCCATTTTTACCACTGTTAGATATTGCCAATTCAAATGTTACAGGAGATTTAGTATGATTACATTTCTCAAAAACTTGTGGTTTCCATGAAACAACAGCAGATCTTGTTTGAATATCAGAAACCTAAAATAAACAACAAAAATTCAAGTAGGGCTCTTAATTTATGATATAATCTTTCCCTAAGTCTCATTTAATGCTAAGTACTGGGGGGTGCCAAAAAATGTATACAAGTGGACACTTTGGTCAACGTTGCTCAAGCAGTAGTTCACCATAATCAGACGTGTCTGGGGCCGGCCGAGTGGTGCATTGGTTAAGAGCTGGCTTGGGATGCCAGAGAGCCCCAGTTCGGATCCCAGATATAAGGGCCAATGACACTGCCCTCTACAGCTGGGATGCTGAACAACAGCTCGACCTGGAGCTGGGCTGCCATGAGTAACCGGCGACAGTGTAGGCTGCAGCCCCTGCTGCAGTGGGTTGCCATGGACTACTGTGTGTAGCCAGCAGCCAGCATGAGCAGCCAGCAGCCAGCGTGAGTGGCCGTCCAGAAGCCGGCGACTGATCTGCCTC